CCATTGTTGGGATGCAGCTTGCAATACATGAACAGAATATCCACAATCATGGTCTGCGTCAGCTCTTCGTGGTAGAATGGTTCTTCGGGCAGACGCTGGACGTCCTGGGCAATCTCTGCCCGGATGGTCTCATCTTGGCGTAGTGTGTTCCATGGGGACTGCGCGCACATGTGAGCATCTGGTGCCAGTGTCGCCTGACGTGTGTGCTAGGCTCACATCGGGGTCATCCGCCAGCGGATCTACCGCTACGTTGGCCAATTCTTCTGGATGCTTGATGAACTTGAGGAAATGGTCACGCTGCTCGCTGTAGTACTCTCGGGTTTCAGACAGCGTCTGGACCCAGCTTTCCTTGTGCACAGTTTGGAACAGCAAGAAAATCTAGTGATGTGTTCAGCGAAAGCTCTCACATGGCCGACAGGGCACGAAGCTGTTTACCTTCCAGCACACCGAGCGATAACCAGCAAGGCAAGGGCTCGAGACCCCATTGTACCTGATGGCCCGCTGCAGATCGGCAAGGCTGTGCGTGTGCTTGATCGTCTCGATCCATCTCGTTCTAGGACGCAGTCAGCATGGCCAACCAAGTCTCGCCAGTCCAGGGTCTCGACGACGACTCACGGAGCACGGCCTGAGAGAGCCATTGTCCCCGCTGACCGCTGCCTGGATACGATGATCGTGGCGTCCAGACTCGACAGGCTGTGGGATACTGGTCAATGCGGAAGACTACGTCAGGAGGATGCTTTTTGGATACACGAGCATCGTTTTACCCCAGGGGTCAATCGAATTGCAGCGCGTGTCGTTGGAGATCTCAAAGGCTATCGTGCTAGTTGAAGGTTATGAGCGTGATCTCGAACGTTGACTGGACCGTCACTGACGTTCGAATGGCGCATCAAGGTGGGGCAGCTGCGTGCCCCCTGTCACGCTCAACGCTCAGCACTCAACGCGCGCAACGGTTCCACGACACCACAGCGAAGAGTGACCCACCAGGCTGTCTGTCCGCTCGGTGAGACACGGTGAGCGAGCCATCAGAGGGCGAAGCAGGATGCAAAACGACATGTTGCCTGGATCATGGAATTGCTACAACTGAACCCGCCACTACGACGACCGCTCAAACCACCTGGCACCAGACACCTCTCAGTGATAGTTGAGTTCCGGATTGGCCCTAAAGTTACATTTGCACCGACATTCTGGCACAGGACACTCGACATGCCGCGCAAACCAGTGCCGCGCATGATCGAGATGCAAGACATGCTCGCACTTGAGGCAGAATGTGGGGAACTTGGCTGCCATGCGGGTGTCCATGTCAGCAGCCGCCTCGGGTCGATCCGACCTGGGGATGCCCACGACCTCGAGACACACGACGCAGCGCGGCAGGTGGCGACCGCAATTCGGACAGCTCACGCCGGCGCTGATGCTCGTGACCATCAGCGGATTCCGTGTATCGGGCGCCCCAGCCGGCGGTGCCGAACCATTGTGCGAAGGCACTGTGGTTTCGGCATCACAGAACACGCAACGGAGGGCAATCTGCCGCGATGGCGGCTTGATCGTCGGTCTGCCGTCGCGCTTGCTCTTTTTCGTGCTCTCCACCTCAAATTTGGTGCGCAGGAAGAATGCCTTGTGACGCTGAAGATACGCCCTGTAGGCGTTGCGCCAGGCCGTGCACCGGTAATCGTCGATGTAGCGCGGCGCGCAGATCGACATGACGAGTGTCGCCGTCTGGAAATCGTTGAACTTGCCGACGTACTTGGCAAACACGTCAACCATACGGTCCGTGATGCCGAATAAGACAATTCCTTCAATATCGCCCGTCTCCGTCGCGATCGATACCTGCTCGCCGAGCCACTTGGTAAGCTGCGTGTCGTCAAAGGTTCGGAATGCCACGTAGGCTCGGTCAGAGAGGGGCAGCGACTTCTGGTTCGCCACCGCCGACCAGTCTCCCGTCGCAATGAGTGACGAAATAGCTCTGAGATAGGGGTCTGTCTTTGATGCCAACGCCACGTCAAAATCCAGCTGCTCTTTCGCGAGCCGCTTGTCACCCTTGTCGATGAGCTGAAGGGCAAGTGAAACGAAGAGAAGCTCTGGGTGGTTCGCGCTCGCCTTTTTCAGGATCTGCACCGCTTTGCCAATCTCGCCCCTGAACAGTGCCCGAGCCGTTTCCATCGTGTGCAGAGGGCTCGGGTAGTCTCCGTTCCCTACTGGCGGGCTATCGTCTTGCTCGTGCCGCGTCGTGTCTCCCCACGTGCAAATATCGAGACAAAGTTGTCTGTGGAAAGGCTTCTTTGTGTGAGCCCCTTGATATCTCGGCAGACGCCGTTTCTTGCAAATGCTGCCGATACACTTCTCCCACAGCGTAACCTCAGGAATCGGCGATGCTTCGGGAAGCCTCGAGGAAGGCTTGTTTCCTGTTCACCATTAGTTTGCGTGCCACGTCCAGATCTCTTTCGTTACGTACCCAGGTCATTCCCCCAGATCGTAGCCACACCCATGTAGCTGAGGTCTAAGGGGTGAAGTTTCATGCCGCCATCCTCGGCAGCGTCCTCGGCATCTATGGCAAGTCAGACCGCATCCGCTCATCGACGTGCGTGCGAAAACATGGGAGAGCCTACCTGCTATCCAATCCCACAAGTAGCGAAGCCACAGGTCATCAGAAACCACAGCTCTGTTCCTGGCAGGGTCAAAGAGATATCTCTCCTTGGCGCGCAGGAGCATCGCATGATCGATGTCAGATTGCGCCTCGGGATTCAACCAGTTTGCTTGCGGCAGCACCGACAAGAGATCTTCGTGAAGCTGTCGGCACGATCTAGGACCCTCCTGTGAAACCGACAAGTCTGCAATCTTATCGGCCACTTCGCCTACCGCGCCATTTTCGGCGGCATGATCATTCGTCACACTACCCTGCTTTTGCTGCAATGCCTTCTGCCCAGCCACATCTCGCATGGTCCGTAAGCTTGCAGCTATAGAGTGGCCATGCAGAGTCTCTGGATAGATGCTCAAGTGAGAGGGTCGCTCAGTCTTGACGTCTGACGCCGACGGATTGGATCGCAGCGTCTTCTCAATGACGGCCGGAATGTTTGCTTTCTTTTTCCCGAAGAGAGGCACGTCGGAAAGGGCTTGTTCTAGTAGCAGCGGCCCGTACATGTCAGCGCATTGCGAAGGCTCAAAATTGAGGAGACTTTGGTAGCCCGCGCCATCTGCGATCAGGTCAGGTCAGCACTGAGCCCATGTCACCGGAATTGGAGACTTTCAAACCTTCCAGGCCCCGATGAGGCGATTTCCAAGATGAGAGTTTATACAAATGGTCGGATGCGTGTGATGGCTGTTCGAGTATTTCCATGGCCCCGTTGGCGCGAAGGACCAATACACGGGGCTGGAGAGGGTTGGAACCCAGAGTCACCCAGTCAAATGACACGATTCGATCATTCTTGCCGTTGGGGTCGGAGAAGTTGACATCCATCTCGTATGACTTCTTAACTTGCATGAGCTCCGGGCTCCCAGCCAATTCCATCTCTGCTGACGTGTGTTCCCTGTTGGTCTGAAGAACCTTGAGCTGACCGGTGCGCGTGAGAACGCCCAAAAGCCCTCTGTGGTCGCGGCAATAGCGTAATGAGCGGACTAAGGAATGTTTGCTGTCCCCGAGTGACGGTTCGTCCGTCTCGACAGCGTTCTGGAGTGATAGGGCAGCGCCCCAGGAGACTTCTTCCTCGTCAACGGCACTCAAGTAGGCAGGAGATGCGACAGCACGGCTGGTAGCTCGCCGATCCCACACGAGAACGCCGGGCTGGTCGAGTGCGGAAGACGCAAAGTAATTCGGATCTGGGTCGATGGCCAAGTTGTTGTTGCACCGCGTGGAGAACTGTAGCTTCGCTGTGCTTGGGTCTCGTAGATCATAGACGCGTAGTCCCTGGGATTTAAGACCGATGACGAGAGTCTGGGGGTTGTCTTCGAAGAACTTGATACTCGATATTGAGGCGCTATGCTCCAGTCGTGTGACCGGTTCAGTAAAGGGAGCCATGTCCTTCGCGAAGCCCTTGGCGACTTTGTCCATGGAAAGTCGGTTCAGATCCCAGATATGAAGACTCTGGTCCATACGCACCCGCTCGAGACCTACAGCAAGAATGCCTTGCGTGTTGAAAGCGACGGCCTGGCACATCCTGGTCATTTTGAGGCCGAGCTCGATGTAGTCACTGGAGTTGTCGTCCATCCTGAGCAGGTTGACACCGCCATTTTGGCCGCCTACTGCGAGGAGGCCGGGGAAGCTTGGCGACCAGTCATACGTCGTCAAAGCCGGAAAGTCGTCATGCTTGGATATTTGCTTGTAGTCGAATCTGCCGTGCTGGGCGACGCCGTTGGGTTCATAAAGCTGAACCACGCGGTGCTGCAGATTGATATGGATGAACCTGTTATGACCAGCAAGAGGCGACCATTTGATTAGCCCAGGCTCGGGGCGGTCCATGTCGGCGAGTATGTACGGCTAGGGCCGTCTCGAGACTATGGGTCAGATGAAGTGTGTTGTGAGTCCGAGCCAGGGTTGTGATGAGAAGTGTCGCAATGCGCTGGCTCGAATAGCGCTTGGGCGCCAATTATACGGTGATGACGAGTCAAGACATCCGTTGGATCACCTCTGTGAGGAACCATGCATATTCCAAAGAAGAAGAGAGGGTTTGCAACTGTAAACGAATGAGGCGTCCAAAGCAGGTCAAGTACATGCACGGCAAGAAGCTCTCGTAGTCGAGCTCCAGCACCGACAGCTGTCTGGCAGTCGGTCGCGCTAGGCCTAAACCGGTCGCTCGCGGGGTCAAGGTCAACAAGGGGTGGCACTGCGATAAGTAACCAACCGATAAGAAAACAGACTCGGCCCCAAATTTTTGAAGTTGCACCGCTGGTTGATCGACAGAATCACCAGCAAAACGCGACCTCGCAAAACCCGACACTGTCGCCAGCGCAGATCCAACATTGTGTCCTCGAGGCATCTTTCATACACACACAGTTTTCTGCGTTTCACCATGAGCAAGCGATCTTTTTCCGAACAGCTCGAGGAGGGCGCTCCCGAAGAAGGACCCTCGACTGGCCCTAGACATTCCAACAAGAAGTTCAAGCCCAGCAACAGCGATGGGCGCCCGCAAGTCAGCAAGAAGTGGAAGCAGAAGCGTATCAGAGACATCAAGAGGCAATTGCAGCGCAACTCGAATATGCCAGCGACCATTCGCCATGATCTCGAGCAGGAGATCCAAAGTTTGCAAAACCAGAAGGGGGAGGACAAGGTCAGGAAGATGCGGAGCGACATGATCGGGAGATACCACATGGTTCGATTCTTTGGTAAGTCGAGGCAGTCAGCACAAAGCTTTGTGTGAATTGACTTGCTGATATCTGCCTCCTTCAGAACGCCAAAAGGCTACGCGCCGGCTGAAGAAGTTTCAACGAGCCCTGAAAGAGGTGGAGGATCCTGAGAAGAAGGCAAAGCTGGAGGCAGATGTTCACATGTCCGAAGTCGACATTGCATACACGCAATACTTCCCACACCTTGAGCCCTACATCAGCCTGTGGCCGAAGACCAGGGAAGACGGCGATGCGAAAGCGACGGAATCCGAAAACGCTAGGGCTCCTGGGGTACCGAAACCAGTCTTCAGCGAGAACCCGGAAGACAAGCCTCCGATGTGGCATGTCATTGAGAAGCTCATGGAAGAGGGTCCTTCGGCGTTGGAGAAGCTTCGCGACAGGCGAGACGCAGTCGGCCTTCCAGCGAAGGCCATGCCCGAGACGAGTTTCAGGCCTGCGCCTGCCGAAAAGGCCAAGGAGGCACAGGATAGGACGCATCATGCGAAGGAGAAGCCGAACAAGAAGGAGGTCAAGAGGACAGGCAACTGGGAGATTGATGCGGGTGAAGAGGAAGAGGATGACGGGGAGGGCTTCTTTGAGTGATGCTGATTCTACGAACAGAGAAGAGGCGTACTCGTGTTGGTCGCCCGTTTTCTGTCTTTGATACCCACATCCGGCCTCGCGACATCTGTGGCTATAGGAAAGGGACCCCGATTTCAGGCGTTATTCTTCATGTCCATTTTACGGCGTTCCAAGGAGAGACATACACCCCATCGTACCCTGGGACGGCAGGTCTTCTTGCGTGTACACAGTGGTTCGCGGATGCTATATTCAAGCGCATACAACTTTGATCCTCCATTGTAACTTCCAATCAAAGTGCGTCGAACCGTTTGCGCATGTGTCATCTGCCAGGCTTGCTTGTTCATTTGCGATTGGGCAAGCTGGGTGGTGATGCTGAGCGTCCGACCAACCTGGCCTTTTCATAGGTTCTGCAGCCTTTCCATATTCGAACCCCGCTCGACGACTCCATCCCGACGTTAGTGACCTCAAGTCCAACAAAGGCCGCGCCTCGACAACGTCTGCGCCATGGCTCCGTACGATATTGACTGGGAAGGTCTCAAGAGATTCATCTCCGAGAAGGAGGGTTATGAGCGCAACTTCGGCACCGCGGCGCCTCTCACTAATGCTCAAAGGGCCGCAATTCATACCTTAGTCCCACCCCCTCAAGTATCTCCAGAGGAAGCCACGGATGACATCAACTGGGTATCTACTTTGCTGCGTGCGTCACTCGAAATCCGACCATGCCCATATCTGATACCTGGAACTCGTGCTGACCCCAGACTAGACTACCTTCAGGTCCACCATCTCACATCTGATATCAAATTCACCGATGAACCCGTCCACCTTCCGAACCCAGTTGGCAAAGGCACAGATTTGAAATGGAGATGTTTCACCGAGCTGCCCAATGGTGAAGGTCCGTTTCCTCGTGATGGCTACGGGGCTGCGGCCGACGGGGCAGGGCCAGTGTTCGCACGCAAACAGGTGAGTTATCCGATGTCGCAAACGAGCACCAGTCTCGACGCTGACGAGCTTGCAGGATGCGAAGCAGCACGCTGCCCGTTCGGTTTGCGAGTACCTGATATCGAACAACAGGATGGATATTTCCCAAGCTGTCTTCAAGCTGATTGTGCCATCCAAGCGAAAACCTACCGCTGCAGCGGCAGCACCGCCTCCGACAGCGGCACCGTCTGCCCAGACAGAGGCAACGCGTCCCACCAAGCGGCAAGGCTTCCAGGACGGGGACGTACCTCGACAGAATTTGCCGCCAACGAGTGCCATCCCGGGCCTCTCCATGGCGCCCTTCAGCAGCGATGCGATTCAGCCGCGTTCTTTGTTCCGGGCAGACAGCAACCCGCCCCCAAGCATCCTCACACCTGGCGACTCTGTGCGACGAAGCGAACCACGGCCGGTAGCAGGCCAGGTAGCGGAGCTCGCTCGTGTCCTCAAGCTCCCGCTGCCGCGCTACGACTGTGTTGCTGACGTCGGCAGTAGGAACACCTGGTCAGTGACGGCCGATTTTGGCGACCATCATCTACCGCCCGTGGGGCTCGGCGCGTTTTCGGGGGTGTTCACAAAGCAGGCTGCGAAGGAGAGGAGTGCTGAGGCAGTTTTGGAGTGGATGATCGGCGTGAAGGAGGACCGGGAGCAGATTGCAAATAAGTTCCTCGAGGGGGGGCTTCTTTGATCCACGGATTCAGGTTTGAGTGTACATCTGTTCGATCAAGGGAAGCGGTTGCGCCGTGACTAGATGAATTTCGCCAGCCAGATGGTCAAATGCGTGGGCGAAAACCAGTCAATCACTTGAAGGAGTCAAGAGAATGTATTGGACCTCTGGTCTCTATGCGCCTCCACGTCCTCGTCCCCTTCCGCCCCGCCTCCCTGGCGGCGTCCTGCCCTTGATGCCCTCCGGTATGTCAGCCAGCTTCTCTCCGTCCTTCCAAAGCACACCCACGGCCGCCGCCCGTCCCACGACCTCCTTGAAGAACTTGGACGGCACCACGCCCTCCTCGTCGCCCTCTGTTAGCACGACCCCGTTGTCGCTGATCCACCATGCAATCCCCGCCTTCAGTGCAGCCTCGACATCCACATAGACCAAAACCTCGGCGTCTCTCCTCATGCCGCTGACTTCCTTCTTTGTCTCCTCCGGCAGCGCCGTAGCAAAATGCACGTGATTCCGACCCATCCTCTTCAGGCCGCCGGACGCCTCGATGGCGGGCCACACGGCAAGGAACGTCCCGTGGAACACCGTCGCGGGAATGTTGCCAGCCGCGGCCGTGATGGGCGTGAGAAGCGCGGCAGAGTCAAGCTTGATGCTGTGTCCCTGGTTGGCGCGGATGAGGTAGTGCGACGGGTCCGTAGACGTCTCGTCGAGAGCCGGATTGGTGGCCGGGTTGGGCTTGATAGCGAACCGCGTCTTGTCCGAATTCTCAATGACGGATCGTACGTCGGACAACGTAACCTTGAGCGAACGGATAGGCCCATACGCAAGCTGGAGGAGAGTTAAACCAGAGAATGTAAAAGTGAAGCAGCAGGGACGGAGCCCGAGACCAGGGATCCGACAGCCAGGATACGGGGTGAAAGACAACGACGACTTACCACTTCGTCAACCTTGGCCCACCCACCCTCATCAAGCGTCATCCCCGCATTCTCCGCCTGGTGCCTCAAGAGCCTCGAAAGCGCCTTGGACACGAGCATGTTCCGGTCCTGCGGCCGGCCGCCGCCCCTGCCACCGCCCCCTCTCCTGCCACCGCGTCCGCCCCGGCCCGCGGTCGCCTTGTCCTCGAGAGCCAGGTGCGCCGCATTCCCGCCCAGGTCGTCAGCCATGGTCCTGTGTCGTCGCGCGCTCCCTCTGGTACCGCGTTGCGTATGGAGCTGGTGGGCCGAGGTCGATCTCTGCGCTGGCGTGTATCGATGTGTAGCGTCTTGTCCGATGTGCAGTGCAAGCCACGTGGAGAGCCGAGCTTGACGATGGGCTGCGGATGAGAAAGGCCGCATCAGCCTCTTGAATGTTCACCTCGAGTGTCTCGCGGATTGAAGAATGAAAGGAAAAAGGGCGAGCGATGAAAACGTGAACAAAGATGAAGCTTGAAGTGGTTCTTACCCAAACTCAAGCCTCAGGCTTCTGGAGGTTCTCAAAATTTGTGGGCCTTGGTTGGTGTGCATCAGGTCGCCGGTTGACTCACAAATCGACCGCGAAGCTGACGACAACCTTCATCAGAGCAGAAGAATTCCCACATTGCAACGGCCAAAAGCCAAGAGTGCACTACACATGTCATACATTATTCAGCTGTCTACCCTATCCATAACGCCAGGACTCCAGGCAAATCATCGTGCGACTGCAACAGCGGCTATGCCTGAGGTCAATTCGACCCAAGACAGTGCTGTCAAAACAGCTTCGTGGAAATAAGGAAAAGAGTGCCAGCTCTGCACATCTGCTTCGTCAGACCATCCTCCCCTTCATATCTTTGTGCAGTCACTTCAATCCGGCTGATGTACAATGTGCCGTTTGCTTGCTCAGGATGGCCAAATGCCTTGTCCGAAGGAGGCCGTAAACAAACAAGAAGGGGGCCGGTCATGTGTCGTCGTAGGTCATACAAGCGAGGAGGACGAGCAGCGAAACCGCGGAGGAATCAGAAACCTTCGCCGACTATGAAGAAGAAGCAGAAAAGGGAGAAAAAAAAAGAAAAGCAAGTGGGCGGGGTAACGCCTGGGCGAGAAAGAAGAGAAGAAAAATAATACATGTGAATCATTGATGCAAGGGTGCGGCTCATCATCCGTCATCTGTAAGCACCTGTTTGTGCCGGGGTAGAGGCATTTGCCATGCTCTCGCGGTTGGGCCTCCGTAGAAAGCTGGCTGTGCGGTTGAGTAAGGAGTTTTGGCCGAGGGACAGGTGTCGTTGTCCTCGTTCTTCCGCCAACTTGTCTGCGACGCTGTTGCCATCGCGATCAGGTGTCGAACGCTCGAAGTATCGGCGTCCACCCAATGCTGAGGGCGTGGAGGGGGACGCGAGTCGAGAAGGGTTGAGCGCCGACGATCCAATCCGTCGGCGTGGAAGGGCAGAACTGTTCGACGATGGGTCAAGTGTAAGAGGTTGTGTCTGAAAGTGGTGAGAGGCAGCGCGGTTTTGTGCTACTTCGGTTTGAGCTCGGGACGGAGCCCTGAAGCGAGGCTCATCCTCGTCGTGTTCGTTGGTGCCTCTGCGCTCGCGGAGTAGTGAGGTCTTTCGGCCCTCCTCCGGCTCCTCTGTTCCTGCCCGTCGAGTCCTGAGTAGCATAGATGACCGGCGGCCTTCTTCAGGCTCTTCGGTCGCAGCGCGCCGAGTTCGACCGATAAAGAGGGAAGACTTGCGAGCAACGCCGTGGGAGGCTTCCGTGGGTGTGGACGAGACGGCAGGCGCGAGGGCGAATCGCGGGCTCGGAAGCGCTGTGGAGTTGAGCATGGTGCTTCTTCTCTCCTCCAGCTTGGACATGGCACGTGGGCTAGGCTCGTTGGTTGTTGCCGGCGCGTCATTGTTCGTTACGCTTCCACGACGCTGGATATCCAGTCTTGGGAAGCTCTTGGTGATGGTGGGAGTAGTTGGGCCCTCTTTTTGTGGTGACCCACTCGTCTTGATCGTGACTGTTTTGTTCTGAGGCTGGGTTGCCTCTTCGCTCAAGGCCAAGACAAGCTCTGTCAAACTGCGACACACACCCTCCGCGCGTCGTCGAAGTTGTCGATCTGTCAGGTTTGTCCCAGCGCCAATGGTGCTCGCGCCGCTTGAAATTGGGCCCGGCTGGCCAGCTGTGCCCATCATGACAACGAGTGCTACAGCCTCAGTCGCAGCCGTCTCGAGTGCCTTGGACACTTCAGCGCTCAAGAGAGGTTTGGTCCGGTTGATGGCCGAGAAGAGCAGCGGCTGAGCCTCCCGCTGGGAAGACGTGGTGCTGGTGGCGTCACCGAGGACTGTTGCGTTTCCGTTGTTGTGTTTTGGTGAAGTCGAAACGGTCGTGTTGGTGGCAGTGGCGGGGCGCTCGTCCAGCACCTTGTGAATGGCTGCACTAGAGGTTGAGGGCAGCTTTCCCGTCAGCTCCAAGCGATGAATTCGCGATTTCAGATCGTCCAGCTCATCCCAAACTGTGGACGGGGCCGTTGTCGAGGCCGTCGACTCCGTGCCTTCGATGCCCTGGCTACCTTCGTGATGCGTGTCATGACGATGCGGTTCCGCCTGGCGAGACGCCAGGGGGGATGAGTTGAAGGTCCTAGGGTGTCCGTATGCCAGATGAGATTGTCTATAAGCAGCATTGCGGCTGGCAGGGCCCGGGTTGCTATCAGTGACCGAAGTGCGCCTCCTGCTGTACGACGAGCTGTCCGCCGGGGAGTCCTGGAACGCCAATGATCGGGGCGTCGTCGGAGAGTTGCGGTACCCTGTGTTCAGAAGCCTCGCTTGTCGAGCGTCTTCACCAGGATGACTTGAGGCAGCCTTCTCCCGCAGCAAACCACGGTACGGCAAGTCGCGAACCGCGGCCTCTGTGGCGTCGCGATCATCGGTAAGTCGCGATCTTGACCGGGATGTCTCCTGTTGGTCAGAAAGCCGCCGGGTGACACGTGGCGGCGACGTGGACTGGTAGGACGAGGGTACAGCGACAGATAGGGGCCGTCGATGCGACGATCGAGTGACTCGAGTCTGGCTGTCTGTTAGTTTGTGTTCATTCATTCCAAACGCTATTTTTATCACAGGAATGTTTGCAAGACAATGTTAATTGTTCACATCAGAAGCGGGATGATAAGCGAGGCACGCAGAAATGGAGGCAGCGAAGGAACAATCGGGAGAATGAAACGTGGGAAGGGAATGTGGTGACAGGCGGGAACCAAGATCAACCGAGTCGATCCGTGCGATGATCACTTGAGCACCCCGCGGCGAACAAATGGATGGATGGGCCCGTTTGAGCACGGCCATTGTGGATGGCGCTAGGCGTCAACCCGAAACAGATAAAGCAGAACCCATGGAAAAAGACCTTCCGACTTACGACAGTTCGCGGGTCCTCTGCCGACGAGGTTTCGTCGGCAGCGCGGCGGCGAGGTTCTTCCCTGGCGATTTTCATGAAGACATCGCCGGTTGTGTCGTCACCATCCACGAGACGATCTCGTCGTGCAGAATCGGGTGGGGTCGTGTCATGGATCATCTCGTCGTCGGGTCTGCCCTCGAGGGCGCGCAACGTCCGGTCGCGCTGATTCGAATCAGTGTACGAGTAATCGTCGCCGGAGGAGTCCCCGGCATGCGTTGAGGGCGAGTTCATGTCCAGGCCAAAACTGCGACGGGAACCGGAGGAGCGGAATGATCGGATAGGTGCGACACGAACGGATGCAGACGTGTTGCTGGGCGCTCGGAAGGAAAGAGGAGGTCGCGAACGGACGGTCTGCCTCTTTTCCTCCGTTGATGTTGTGCTCTGCAGCGTCTTAGGCAGGAGCAACTCGCGCTGGCCTTGAGCCCACTCCTTTGTGGTGTGTTCGGGTCCGGAGCCAGACAGCTGCGTCGAGTGCGCCGTGTCGATGGATTGGAGGCGGTGATGCGTGTTCAGAGAGGGCGAATGGTCTGCAGGGCTGTCGAGACCATTTGATGTGTTGGACGCGGGAGCTCGGCGGTGTTGTGTCTTTGCGCCTGCCGAAGGTGTCTCTGCAGCGCCTGCGACGTCAGGTGATGCGTGCTCCCGTGACCCGGTAGCGGCAGCGGCAGGCGAATGAGGCAAGGAGGAGGGGCGTGTCGACGAAGAGGTCGCGGGCGTTGTCGCAAAAGTCGGTTGCGGGGACGTCTGTAGGGTCGATGCGCGAGAGCGCGGTCGTGTACGCGGAGGAGACAGTTCGTGATCTTCCGGGATTGAATCACGTTTTGAAAATCGCGTTCGTGGCGGGTACGAGGTAGAAGTCTGGCGGGTGTCTTGGGCAGGCTGTTGTTGATTTTGGTGTTGGTGTTGCTGCGAGGACGGCGCATGGTGTGTTGTCATGCGGGGGATCGAGTTGCTTGTGCCAATCCGAGTCGTGTTTTCGATTTCGCGTGGACTCTGGCTATGGTCCTGGACGCCGGCCGGGGCGCCGCCGCCGCTGTCAGGGCTGTCCCTACCACTGTGGCGGCTCGACCGCGTGCTTTTGCTCGTGGTCCGGGGGGGATGGTTACGCAGGCCTGCACTGGCGACCCCGCTGACGTGCATCGGATTAGGGGGCTGAGATGCGCTATGACTGCTGCTGCTGCTGCTGTTGCTGCTTCTGCTGCTCCTCCTGCTGCCGGTACTGGCCCCCCTACTCATGTTGTCCGACAGGTAAATGCCTGATGGAGGCGCGTCGAGGTCAATCACTCCCGAATTGGGCGAAACGGGCGCCGACGACAGTTGGCTCTGCTCTGAAGGTTGCGGCAGGGCCGGCAGCGGCAACGACTGTTGCTTGTTGAGGTCTCGATCAGCAAACCGAAACGCCGGCAGCTTTGACGAGTTGTGGCTCTGACGATGCGCATGCAGGTGCGACCGTGACGACGATGGTGGGTTAGACGGGTGAAGTGAAGCTGGCGGCGAGGTCGAGGGGGAGGTCGATGGCGATGTCGTAGAGGATACCGTCCCAGCCAGCCCGGGTATTGTTGCTCCAGGAGTCATGGCATGGCCCTCTTCGCCCATGGCTGTTGGCATATTCCCTCTTCACGCCCTTCGCCCGCGGCGGCCAACGCTGGCGGAGCTAGGATACTTGGGAAACCGATTGCTCTTCAGTGGTCAGCAAAAGACCTCCGCGGTCGACAGATTTTTTGGGTTCTTTGGTTCTCGTCTTGTCGCAATGACGGCGGCGAAGGCGGATTGGCGGATGTCGGAAATTGGCGAGTCCCTCAGGCTGTATTGATGGGTGTCCTGCTTTTCCTCTCGTCGTCCTCGGGGGAGGAGGGGGGGCCACCCAGTTTTTCGGGCGTCTTTCTTTTGTTCGCCGGATCGAGTACGGGGTTGAGACATGCGTCGTCAGTCAGAAACCTTCTGTTCAGTCCGCGTCCTCGAGAGTAAGGGCTCTTCGAAGCGCAAGGCAGGCAAGTTGTGTAAGTGACAGAAGAGATGGGAACGAAGAGTCGTGCTGCGGAGCGTCTGAGATGGATGGACCAGTCCTGGGCCGTGATCGCACGAGGAGGAGAGAAAGCAAGGGGGGGTGTTCAGGTTAGAGGGCGGGAAGGAGGAAGTTGCATTACAAAGGACGGGAGTCGTCGGTTCGGGTTGGCGTGCGACGGTCCTGGAGCGAGCGATTCCCAAGCCGGACAGCGTGATTCGGCTGCACAAGCGACGGACCTGGAGCCGGAAGTCGAACGTCGACAGGACAAGACAGTCTATCCGGGCACCTCGTGGTGATGTAGTACAAACAACGAGGTCAGGTTGGTCAACCCGGGGAGCAGAAGCAAGAAGACTCGCAAGCCGAGTGGATAGCTCAGCGCTGATGCCAGGCTCCTCTAGCTACCTTGGGTATCTTGGGTGGGCGGGTGAACAGACACGGCAAGGTTGATGTCGGGGTACGAGCGCCTGACGTTGACGTGAACCTTCTTCCCTCGTCAACTTGAGCGGCAGCGACGACTGGGCAGTTCAGGAGGGTCGAGAACCCAGTCGGTTCCGCAACCGGGGGCCTGAGTTCAACTGTCTATTGGTGTTTCCCCCTTGTGCATCGACACGTTTCTGTCGCCATAAAGCAACTGAACAACCTAACCAAACAATATCCACGAGGGCCGTTCGGCCTCTGGGTTCCCGTCGTTGCATCGATCGCACTGCGCTCGCTGCCATGCTCTCGCCATGATGACCCCGGCCGCCAGTCCCTGGCCAATCTGCCCACGGACTGGCTTCTGGCGCTGGCGCTGGAGTAGGCTTGGTAGGGTCCCCCCCCCCCCTCTCTGTCAGTGCCAACAGTGGCCTGTCGTCTGGTCTCGTCTCTCAGTCCGGCCGCTGGTTCGACAGGGGCGGCTTGCTAGTGTAGTGGGAAAAGGAACCCAAGTGCGCCAATGGCGGGGTGTCTATGCAGCGGCAGGCACATTCACACGCAGCACAACCCAGACAGCCTTCCAGCGTGCCGATGAGCGCGTTGCCTACTGCGGCTCGAATCACGCTGTCTCAAGGCGAAGCAGCCGGCTCGACGCTGTTGGCCTGTTCCAGATATTCCGTTCAGCTTCTGTCGCGCGCTGGAGTTCCAGTCCAGCTTTCGCCAGCGCTGGTCGTCTCATTCTCGGTACCGGCACAACGCCCACCATACACATCAACAGCCCAATGTCTGATGACGACCGATATCCGCTTATTTCAATCCACCTATGCAAAGCATAGCGACTTACATACCGGCTCTGCCCGTCAGCACGCAGCGTATTAAAAAATCTCCTTGCCGAATTGGCCCTCTTGAGCCCAGCGATATGGCAGGGCCCCTCGTCCGCTGCTGACGGATTTGGACTTGATCCAAGCTCCTCCAGTGGAGATCGTACAGGGAATCATTGACCTTAATCTGAGCGAAAGAGTAACATCGCGCCAGGGGAGGATGGTCCGACCACACGACATGCCCGAGAATCGATGCCGAAAGCTGAAGAGTCGCCCGTAAGCGACTCCAACTCTCAGACTGATAGGGCAACCCGCCCGAAGCCAAGGGCAGCCGTCATGTCAATCAGCGTGATAGAAACAAAGTCGAAACATTAACAGGCGGAGACACCTCGAATTCAGGAGGCTGGGGAAGCATCTCGCGAGGGGGGGCCGTCCTGTGTGCCGACAATTTCACCTCTCATACCGGGATCCCCAGCGTCGTTTCCTCCAATCCATAGAGGCAGCACCTCGTTTGTGGCCATTTTTCTTCATCTGCAAGCATCATGCTCAAAAGCTCATGTAGTTGGGGCCCCGCCACCCATGCCGTCAGAGCCTCCTTCGTATGCAGTCGAAAAGGGGCATGCATGCACGTATGCAGGCCGTCATCAGCCAGAACGCTCCCCCAGTGCCCAGTGGGAACTTTTCATGAAACAGTCAACATGTATGGGTATCTGTGCGGGCTCCGCACCCATATGCACCTGAACCGACAAGAGATGAATGAGCTTGCAAATCCTCGCGGTGATACGCCTCTTGCGCGCCAAGGCGTCGTTGGTGGTTGAAGCCTTGTGGTGTTCACTTGTATTGTCAAGACGTTTGTTTCCTGCTAACAGCAGGATTAGACTCCGTCGACAGTCCAGCGGAGTAGAAAAAGCTGGTGAGGGGCCAAGGACTTGTTGACCCCCGAATGTTTGCCCGTTGGTGGTCCTAGCCGTGCAGATCTCTTGCAACGAGTCGTGCTATCTGGGGCCATCACAAATGAAGTCTGTACTCACGAGCTCTACATGGGGGGGAGCAGCCTGTCGTCGAAGACGTGTTTGCTCCTACGCCTGCTTTTCTTTTCTTTTTCTTGCCTTGGGAACTGGACCCTGTGGCGACGAATCTGCATTGAAGCCGATGCGGCCGGCGGCAAAAGCCAAAGCCCTCATCCTCCACAGATCGTGGGGCCCAAAGTGGCCTGCCAGCTCATTCGTGAAAAGAGTCATGCCCTCTGCTGCTTCTCTTGGAGGCGTAGGCACAGGCCAGGCACTAATGCACCAAGCAATTATATGCGAACTGCAGCCAGGTGGATCTGTCTCTTCTGTAAATTAGCTGCGTTCACCTCGGTGTTGTTTTCGGTGAGCTCAGCAGTGGGTTCTCGGTGATCAACCCCCCCCCTCCCCAAAGTTCACCTGACGTAATCGTGCCTTCGCTCTGGATAAGACGACGACAGATGTTGCTGGTGTGCGCATGTCACTCATCAGTGACATTTGTGACGCGGCTCGGCGCTACCAAGGCCCAAAAGTTTCAACTCTTCTTGTATACTGATTCGCGGTCCAATGTTCACGAGCTATGAATGAAACAGGTTGGCACCGTGTCAGACGACGTCTGGCGCCGTAAACTTGATCTGGACTCGCGCTGAACCTCGCCGTTTGCATTCGTCACGCACCACGTCAACGCTCTCTAGTCGAGACGCTGCCAGGCGGGGATGTTTCTGACAATGATTCTTATATTTGGACACAGTCTTAACTGTTTTGATAAGTAGTGCGTACAACGGTGATGCTTAGACACGGCTGCATGCGAAATAACAACGGCCTGCCTTGATGGAGCAGGCAGGGCACAGCCGCGGGTCGAGAGCCAGAGCCACACCCTCATTCGAGTTTATCAGAAGGTGGTGAAACTGTGACGCGGCCTTTAGCGTCAGTCTTTTTAGGCTTGCTCGATTGAAGAAGCTCGTGGGTGTAACCCGAGAAACATCCAGAAATGCCGTCGGTACAGTCGACAAGTCTAAGGCCTGAGGTGCTGCACGGAATATTCGAGGCACGAGAGAAAACTCTTGTGGGATATCCCTCTTGTTACCAAGGCAAACTACCAGTATGCGGCCTGTAAGGGCTGGTATATTTATTGGCACCGGAATACTTGGTGTCCCAGACGACAATGTTTCCTTATTATCTCACATGGACGTATGCATTTTGATGACGACTCCGTGTTAGAGAACCCTAACCTTCTGAACTCGGGGGAGAGCTGCCGTTGGAAACGCATTTGCACTAGCAGACAGTTTGGCTGCTCCCGAGAGGCAGCAAGTGTGGACAGCCCCGGACAGATCAACGTCGGCGCCGGAGGTGATAAGTTGAAGCATGAACATGAGCTAGAATATGTGTTTCGGCAGTCAACTAACGTGCGAGCCGGCATTCAGAAGGAGAATATTCTGACTGTCCGAGACCAGAAAATTCTCATCTTCTCAATATGTGTCGGCAGTCAAAAAAAAAAAAACAGATCAATGCCAGAACCTGACTACTGCCAACAATCGGATGATAGAAGTTTTCGGACAACATTGCCAAGGAAATATGCTCAAACAGCATCGCCTCACCTGATGTTGCTGTGAAAGTGATCGCCCATGCTATGAGCATCGCACTGCGACGCACAATGTATCGAAACCCTACGTATCTGGTCGACATGGGACGGCCGGCTTCCGACCACTCAATGTCAAGCACTCGTTGCCGGCAGCCTGCCACGCCATATCAAACAATGGGCTTCAGCTCAATCCATGAATCGACCAAGAGGGCACCATCTTGACATGACGAGAGCTATAGTGGGACCCTGTTGCTTTGATGGGCAACGTACGGTGAGACTGTTTCGGAGGATCGCCAAGTATCTGAGGAGTAATTCTGAAGACCCATAACTAGGCACGTACTCTGCTGTTGAACCTCAGGTGGATGCAGCCAGGCTGCGGCCAGGGATGATGGATCCTCGGAGGACGTTGCCGAAGCGATTGTATTCTGGTCCTCACCCTCGCACCCCAAAGGGGGCTGGATCCCGCTTTCATCCCTTCATGTGCCTGCCGCCCCTCAGGTAGCCAGTCCGGCGAGCCACCACCATCGTCATCGCGAGATGCGGAGCTACGGAGGGGCGGTTGCGAGTAGATGCACATCATGTTTCGCAGAGGTTGGGAGCGTCCGCGCCCTAGCATGTGTCGCCTGTCGGCCAAGTCATCAATTGCCTCGCCATCTTCCTGGGGACGTCAGATGCTTTCGATACAGGGGTTTGTTACGGGATACTGCGCATTGCCCAACAACACACACGGGGCATGGGATTTGCCAGTCAGCTGATGAGCGGCC